ATTTGAAATCTGCTGAAAGTGGTAATTCAGATGGACAATATTATCTTGGATCCTGCTATGATAATGGCACAGGCACAACCAAGGATGAAAAAAAAGCATTTGAATGGTATTTGAAATCTGCTGAAAGTGGTAATTCAGATGGACAATATTATCTTGGATCCTGCTATGATAATGGCACAGGCACAGCCAAGGATGAAAAAAAAGCATTTGGATGGTACTTGAAATCTGCCGAAGGTAGCGATTCCACTGCACAATTTAATCTTGGATCCTTATATGAGAATGGCATAGGCACAACCAAGGATGAAAAAAAGGCATTTGAGTGGTATTTGAAATCCGCCGAAGGCGGCGATTCTAGTGGACAAAATAGCCTCGGATTTTGCTACAAAAATGGTATAGGTACAGACGTGGATGGAAAAAAAGAATTTGATTGGTATTTTAAATCAGCTAAAGAAGGCAATTTAAATGGGCTATATAATCTCGCAAAGTGTTATCAAGATGGTATAGGCACTACAAAGGATGAAAAAAAGGCGTTTGAGTTATATTTGAAATCTGCCGAAAGTGGAGATCCTGACGGACAAAATGAAGTTGGATTATGTTATCGGAATGGTATTGGAACATTATCTAATCATGAAAAGGCTATCCAATGGCTACAAAAAGCAAAAAGCAATCAATATAAAAAAGCAACTAACCATATAAATATTGATGATTTCTTAAAAAAATTACTGGTCCAAAATGACTTATTAATATCATGGATTCCATTTAATGAATTAAAATTTATAAAAAAAATCGGAAAAGGCGGATTTGCAATTGTATATTCAGCAAATTGGAAACATACAAGCGCAAATGATGACACTACAACTGAAGTTGTTGCACTTAAAATATTTCATAAATCAAAAAATAGTTGCAAAGAACTTATAAAAGAGGTAAATATTTGATAACACCATTATTAAATTTAGCAATTATTACTATTCAATTATTAATTTAATATTTGTAATTTAAAAGTTAATTGCGTATTCAGATATTGGATCTAAAAATCCTACATTTTTGCAATGTCATGGAGTATCAAAAGATGAAAATACTGAAGATTATATCTTAGTTATGCAATATGCAAAAATGGGATCTTTGCGTCAAAATCTTCATATTGTTGCACAAATGAAATAGGAAAAAAAGTTAGAGCTATTATCCTATATTGCATTTGATCTTAAATTAATACATTCACATGATATCATTCATCGTGATTTGCATAGTGGAAACATACTCCAGGATAATTTGCATAATGCATATATTGGCGATTTAGGATTTGCAACTGCAGTCAATAAAACATTGGACTCAGAATCTAGAGGAGTTTATGGAGCTTTGCCATATATAGCACCAGAAATTTTGTGCGGAAGTACGTTTACTAAAGCATCAGATATTTATTCTTTAGGAATGATTATGTGGGAAATTTCTTCAGGAAAAGTTGTATTTTCTGAATATGAATATAATGATCTAAACTTAGCTGTAGAAATTTTTAAAGGACTAAGGCCAACTATTCATAAAGGTACAACGTTGTATTATAAGGAACTTCTAGAAAAGTGTTGGGATGAAACCCCAAAAAAACGACCATCAGCTTCAGAAATTTATGAAACTATTACAAACTGGAAAAATGATGTTAAGATTTTATCTGAATTTACAGATTCTGATGATGAAATAGTGATAGAAAGTAATCAATTTAATTTTGATATCGATAGTAACTCAATTTATAGTAGTAAATTTATTAGTTGTGAGTGCGTAATATTGATGGCATGATGGATAATGACGACGAAAATATAAAAACAGAAAATATGCAAATGGATATTGATGATAAATTTATATGAATAATGTATTAATTGATGGTTATACTCTATACATGAGGTTAAATTAGAATAATGCCTATGCTTTTACGCAAACCAATGCAATAATTACAAATAATAATTATAAGTAATAAATCCATGTGTTATTTTATTATTACTATAGCCTTTTACGAATAGACTTCAATAATATATAATAAAGGTTCACAAAGATCTAAAATAATTACGCTTATAATTAGTATTTATTACTCTGGTAGCCATTTTTTTATCATTCCCTTTTGTTATTATTGAATTATATCGCCATTGGTTCCATCTTAACACTATTTAAGTATTGGTATGCAAATTTTTTTCCAAAAAAATATTAATTTATGATAGAATTTTACTTTCTTTTTGTATTCACATTGTTAGTATTATATTTTTTGTTTATTTTATAAGGAACTAGGAATTTCACATTGTTTTTCTCTAGTCAGATATATTAAATTTTGGATTCGCTCTCTAACAGTATATCGTAATTATATATTTGACACTTTTTTAAATTGTTAATGATATATTTATTGTATTAATCGCGACCCATTTTTTGTAACCATTGAAGACCTTTTTGTTTATCTTGTAAAACACCTTTACCATATTTATAACAGATTCCTACTTCATATTGACTATTTTTATCACCACCTTCAGCAGCTTTTAAATACCATTCAAATGCTTTCGTTATATCTATTTCAATTCCATAACCAAATTCATAGCAATAAGCAACTTTAGATTGACCAATTAAATTACCACCTTCAGCAGATTTTAAATACCAATTAAAAGCTTCAGATAAATTTACAGAAGTACCATAACCATAATAATAACAATTTCCAACATAATATTGGCCTAAAGCTGAACCTTTTGTAACAGAATCTAAGAATAAACGAAGTGCTCTTTGATGATTTATTTTAGAGACGTTGTATAAATGAATTTTTCCAAGAGAAATTAATCCAATAATTTGATTGTCCTTTATTAATTTGTCTAATGATGGAAAATAGTTATTATTAATGTCATAATCGAAATAACTTTGATCAACAGAAGCTTGTTGATACAAGTCAAGTGCTTTTTGATCATCAGTAGATATTCCAATTCCATGTTCATAAAAGAAACCAATTATACTAGTACACCAAGATCGATTCAGATAATTAAATAGATTAAAAACGTAATCAATACTCTTTCCAGTTTTTGCAATAAATTTGTAAATATTGTGAATGATATCTTTTTCAAATTCATGATTATTAAATAGTATTATAAAAATTTGACATAATTCTTTAATAAATATTTGAGCGAAATTGTCATTTACGTCCAGCTCCTTTGATAAAGGACTTGAAATAATGTTAATTGAATTCATTATATTGTCGGATTTGTATAAAGAAGAGGTAATATTTGTAGCTGAAGTACTTTGGTCAATTGTTCCTTGAAGAGATAAAATAATTGTAAAAAGTAACTCTAATTCTCTTGCCTTTTCATGATATTGATCAATATAGTTTTGCACCAAATTAGGATCATTTAAACTCTTATTTTCTGATGAAGGAATTTTTTTTACAGACTGATGGAAAATTTTGGTTTCATTTTTTAAATCAATTGCATTAAGTTTTTGAAATATATGTTGTATCGTTGGACGTTGATCAGCGTCATGTTTCCAGCAATCTATTGTATAGAAAATAATAAAATTATTTTTAACATAATTAAAAAGATTAAATAATGAAAAATCAATATATTACCAATATAGATATTCGCGTATTCATGAAGAGTTCCAGGGACAATTGTTTCACGTTTACCATGAATGATAGCGTTTATGAAATCGAAACCTGGTGGTAATTCAGATTTAAATGGAATAACGCCACTTGAAATCTCCCAGAGAAGAATCCCAACACTGTAAATATCCGAACTTTTACTAAAAGTACAAGTTTCAATATTTTGAATGTATTGAGGGTCGACATATTGAATATTTTCAAACAGATTAAGAAATATAGTTGGAGATTTGGCTAATCTTTTAGAAGTCCCAAAATCACTAAGTTTAATATTATCATTATGAATAAGAATATTTTCAGAATGCTATTATAAAATAAATATATTCAGTATACGAAATTAATAGTTCAGAACCTTAAAAATAGAAAGGAGAAATTAGCAAATTTAGTTGAATCACCTTTCTGCTTTTAAGATTCAAATTATTTGAACATAATAAAATTAACACATACCAAATTCGCGTGTATAATATTATTATCATGTAAACAGGTCATAACGCTAACAAGTTGCTTTGCCAACTTCAATTTATCATGCCATTTTAATGATTTAAAATTTTGTTCTAAATAATATCTTAATGAACCTTTATCAGCATATTCAAGAACTAACATAAAATTATCTTGATCTTGACCAACGAAGTTATTAGAATAAATTTTATCTAAATAATGAACACTTTATTGTAAGTGTAGATAAATACCTGGCTTCGTAATACCAGAAATTCGAAGAATATTATTATGAAATTCTAGTTTTCGATGCCGTTTCAACTATAAAGTGATATAAATCATATAGTTAATAAATGTGTACATTATAATTAACGAATTATAACGTCGGATAATAAAAATGACTAACTTCGTATACAAGCTCATTTAAAGTGTATTGTTCATTAAATTTAATGTCTTTCAACACCATGACCATATTATAACTACGCAAAGAGGCCTTGTATATGTTTCCAGAATTTCTCACACTAAGAGTTTCGAGTTTTTCAAATAAATCATATTCCTGAACAGTTATGATTTCTTCAATCATACACTCGATGTTATTCATATTATCAAAAAAGTAGTTGATTTTTCTTCAGCATACGTGTATTTAACATTCAAAAAAGCAAATAAGCTGGACAACATTAGTTACGTAATGGTAATTAAATTTAAAATTAATTGCATTGATTGATAGTCACATAAGAATGTATGCAATAAACGTATGCACATATTAATAATGAACCAATCATAATTTTTTAAATGTTTGTTTTCCATGTTGTATGTACTACATGATGAGAATTGGTCCTAGCGATGTAAAAAAAAATAAAATAAAGTTGCATAGACCCTTGCCAGTACGTACGTACGTACGTACTAGTGTGGTAACTCAACTAAATAAATCAAAATTATGTGAGCAAACTATGGATATATTACAGATTTTTCACATTACACGAATGAAAATCACCATATTACATATCGATATCAATTTAACGTTAATTACTGCTATATTACGTTTTCATTTAGAGATTAGCATCTTTACAATTAATATATTTATTAAAATTCTTTTAAATGACGCAACTTATAGAAAGCCCAAAGAATTACTTTGAAATTTTCACAAATAACTTATTAAATGTTGGAGAATAAAGTTACGCTTTCGGATTTTCTATAAACATATAATTTTGAACATTCTCTTTAAATTTCATTAGTTAACGTGAAAAAAAATTAGAATTTAAATGTAAAAGTCGAGACTTTAATAAAATTTTTGCAAAAAATCGATCGTAACTTTTTATAGATGACTTCTGCGAAGAGTTTCAATTAAAAGTAATTAGAAAAAGAAGTGTAATGTTAAGGTGGGTTCTTTAGAATTTTGCGCGTTACTTATCAATTAAATATTAATCAATATGGGTGTCCATTGGTTGTGGTTGGACGCATGAAATACCGTCTTCAATGGCTTAGCGCAGCCACAAAATCAAAAACATCAATTATTTCTTGTACTGTAGTATAAAAAAAAAAAATAATCTAAACATTAACGAAAATAAGTGCTTCTGACGCAACCAAGAAAATTTTATAAAGTCTTTTGCTTAATTCTCAAGAGAATAAATTTTGCTGAGACCTACGTTTACAAGCTTGTAATTTTAAAAAATACCCAACTTTGTTTCAAAATTACTTAATTATATTCTGCATATCGGCGGATTTTTGGAATTTACTATTGAAAATTTCAAAAATATTTAACAGTGAATAACTTTTGATCCGCTGGTCCGTTTTCGATGAAACAATTACCAAAATGTTCGTCTCGTTGCGACGATTCTAATGGACACAAAATTGTCAAAATCCAATCACAGAACCCGAGATTGGTAGAGATTTGCGTCGCTTCGGGTGTTTTAGGATTGGTTAAACCAATCCTAAAACACCCGAAGTGGAACAAATCATCAAAGAT